CCCAGCCTGTTTGGCTGACAGTGGGACCACAAACAGAAGTAACAGAGGCCATCAAAGTGTGTGAAACAGAGAGAAAGGGGAAAAAAGAAAATACAAACAAAGAGGCACTGGAAACATAAGATACACACAGTAAGACAGGAAACAAAACTCATACTGTTTTAGAGTGAAAAGAAAATTTCCATTTCAGATTATTTAAGAGCTTGGCACTTTTAAGTGGTTCACTGGGAAACATGCAAGTCCCAGTTAATAAAGAAGAGGTTTAAGGCAGATCATACGTAATGCCTGTTTTCTTATCATAAATCCTTCCTCCATCTCTAAGTATCTAAAGGCTGCTCGCAGCTTCAGAAACACCTTCTCAGTAAATCCCTAAGGTTTGAAGACCTTATGTATTTATTTGCATGCTAACTTGTATCAAATACCCATTCAGTTTGGCTACTAATATATGCTTATTTAAATTCAATGATTTTTAAAAAGTCAAATACAGATATCACTTTGGAAGAATGGGGGAAAGGGTTGAAAAAACCACTAAGAAATGGCTCAAGAATGGAGAACAGACATGAAAAAGGTATAAAATGAAGAGGAAGCTTAACTGCCCAGCAGCCCTACACTCTTCACAGTTTTCTTAGAGTACTTTTCACATTGCCATTTAACATTGCATAGAAAAACTTGCCCCCCTCCTCCTTTGTACAGTCTGAAGAGCAAATATCCAAAGCTGCCTTTTAAAATTCTTACTTGGGCAATTCAGAAAGCTGTTCTTTCATACTTGGCGTATGAAATGTTTTATTCAATGAATTTAACATCTTTCTGTACAGTCATCTTAATTTCATCCATATCCTTCCTATTTTTCAATCTACTTATTCATAAAATTGCTCTGGCCACATTTCTTTATAACCATTTATCTAGAGGTTGTTAAAAACCTTTTCTCCTTTAACATGAGTGAAAGAAACTACAGAAACTAAAGAAACAATTATGAATGGCAACATATTTAAGAAGCTCATGGCCCAAAACATCTCTCGTAGGATATCTAGAACACTAAAATGTACTCTGAGAGGAAAAAAGGCTTTCCTTCATCTAGTGCTCACCAGAAAGAAAAAAAGAAAAAAGTTTTTCAAAAGCACAGTAGCAATCTTCATAGAATCATATTTCTTATTAAGTGTAATTCCTACCCATAAAATTGGAAATAAAATTTACAATTACAGACATACTTAATGCACGTGCCATTTATAAAATTCCCCACATGAGAAGCTACATACTGCCACGTGTGACACTTGAGCCGTTTGTCTATTAACCCAAGTATCATCCAAAACCCAGGGTGCTTTGCCAGTTTCTAGGTCAGACTTAGTACCTGATTTTCAGGTAAGTTGTGGAATACATGTTTTTTTCCCCTCTCCTAACTAGAGAAGAAACATCTCATTAAGAAAAGTTAGATTTAATCTGATTAAATTACACATACAATATTATTGTCAACTGAATATTAAACTGCCAAAGGCAGGTCTGGACCGCCGCATGTCATTATCTCCAGTCTGTGAAGTAGGGCCATGTACTTTATGGGCATACTCTCCCCTTCACAAAGCTTCCAATTTTATACCTTTAACTGAAAAAAAGAAAAAAAAAAAGATCCAACTCTCACATGAGGTGAGACAAGCATATTTGCATGTTGATAATACTAATTTGAGATCTTTAAAAGTAAAAAATACTGCCAACCTTGTCAATCTTCCTGGGTCTTACTTGAGGAAGTCTGCCTTCCATGTAATTCCACATATACATAAACTGATTTTCAAACAGGCAAAATCTGAATCATACAAAAGCTGAAGTAGGACTGCTTCAAATATTTAATATAATAATATATATAATCTAATTTACTACTGCTCCTGCATAGTAGGAAGGAAACAATTTTTTTTTAATACTGATCCTCTGTATTAGAAAGGCAAATCAATTGGTCAGTTAGTACAGAAAAGTGAAATTATCATAATCCCCATCTGCAAGGCTTATTTAACTTGGTGATGAAGGAAGCAAGCAATGGAGCTCTAGTTCATTAGAAAAAAATTACATACAGCTGAACATGAATTCCTATAAAGTTCCCAGAGATTCTGTCCATAAGTATAAGGAATAAGCAGTTTAATCTCACCTGTAAGCAAATCGCTACATTGACCCTGCACCCAAATGTAGTGCTCACTGCACGAGCAGAGAGGCCCAGGTCTTTGAATAACTTAGAAAAAGAGTGTGTTAATGTAATCCTTGGTCTTTCCTCTGCAACCACCATGCATGTTCGCACACAGGACAGGTTAACTCCTTTCATCTGAGAGGTTGGATGAAGAAAACAACATTTTACGTTTAAAGTCAACAATTTAGAAATAGGCCATTTTAATTTGCAGAACAGACAGACTTTAAAAACACTAGACTAACTGACATCAGCTGGTTAAACAGTATAGACACGGACTACACTCAGGTTGGCTTCATCCACCCAGGACAGCCCTCTAAAATTGTGCCAAGAAGCTTTGTGGTAGGGTTTGATGCACAAGATGCAAACCACTCGCATCGTGCAGCTGTAACACAGCCACTCATCATTTTGAGCTGGAAAAACCGCAAAATGTCACTGTGTCAGGGCTGGGCTCACAAGAGAGCTGCTCGCTCCGAGTGCTGCGCGGTTCAGATACAGGCAGAGTAGAGTGTTCAAGACATTCTTAGCTCTCATCAGCGTGAATGTGAGTCTGTAGCAATTGGCTGTGGACCAGGATTCCCTTCAGTGAGGTCCAGAACAGAGGGACAGAGATTTTTGTCTATACTGAGAATAAGCACAGCGTAGCCGCTTGTGCACAACAAGCTGCCAGACGCTCTCAGTGGAAGTCCTGAGCAGCCTGGTTACTACAGCCGTGGGAACTCTGCTACCCTTGAGACAGAGGCACCTCTTCAAAGACATTAAGTTTCAGTTAAAGAGATTCGCCTCAAAACTAAATAGATGTATTAGTGTGTAATTGCTGCTAAGAAGATTACATCCATTTTAGAACTTGATACTTTTGGTGTCAAAAGATCTGAAAGCAGGTGAGATTTGCCAGGTTTTGAGGGGTGCTTTTTTTTTTTTTTTTTGAGGGGGGAGAGGTTTTTGGCTTGGGGGATTGGTGGGGTTTTGGCGTTGTTTTTATTTTGGTGTGGGGTTCTTTTGTTTGCTTGTTTTTTTCATCTCAGGCAAGAAAAATTTGATAGGCTTGCTAAGTATTTTGCCCCAAAATCTCAGAAATACCCAGCAGCACAGAAGTGGCACAAAGAAGTTGAAAACATAAGACTCTCTCTTTTTCCCCACCAGAAAGAGGAGAGCTGAAACTTCCAGCAATCTCGACATTTCCCAAAAAGCGAGTCATAATGAAAGGCTTTCAAAGAAACACTTATGGCCCATCTTCTACAAGCCAAAATGGAATGTTTTTAGAAAGATACATGTATTTATATGTCAGTATGTTGAAAAATTAAGTCCACTGACCCGGAGTATATCAGTCTGTGTTCCAAGCCCTTTGGTGCACATCTCCATCACAGAGTAGGAGCAGAACGTGACACGCACTTTATACTGACTTACAGCAGACAACCACAGAGACACATTGCTCTCCAGTTCCAGAGGAGGGACCAGAATAGACTGATGACCTGAATATACACTAGAGAGAGGAAGAAAAAGAAACATGAAAACTTCAAGCCAGCATAAAAGTGCCAAAAGTTACATAAAGTCAAAATGAAGCACAAACAGGAAAACAGAGAGCTTGGTATCTATCTGAACTTCAGCTTACCTTCTCCACAGGGAGCAAGTATCTTTTTGTTAGTAGTGAACTACGGGCTTGAGTTAAGTCACAACTTTAAGGTGAGTATATTTGTCTTGCAGTAAATTGTATTGAACTGCAGGCAAATACTCAATGTCTTGAACAGACAGAACTTCTGACACTAAAACATTAACATTTGAAACATCATTCCAGTTACAGATTACAGTTCGTAATTGAGCTTATTTTTGTGAGTCATTCTAGGGAAAATGCACCTTTTGCTTTGAATGAAGTAAGTCTTTAACATATTGCACCCTTCAGGTCTTCAGTGCAATTTTCTAGCCTTTGCTTTCTAGTCTCTGTTTTTAAATAGTGTTTAGATGAAATATTTAACCTGGATGCCAGTTAGCATGAGTGGACAGAAAGTCAAACTGAGAGTTACATCAGCTTTTAATTATTTTTTAAAAAATATTATATCCTAGTTTGAAGACAGTAAGTGCCATGACCATACAGTCTTAAACTGCCAAATGTTTTTTAGATCAGTTACTATCAACAAAATCAGTAACACACTCCTCTGTAAAACCAGGCTGAGATAAACCAATGCATCTTGAAAAAAATAATAGCATCTCTAATTGCTTTTAACAGGTAGTTTGACATGCGTGCCATTTCTCCTGACTAGAGTTGACGTGTTTTTGTAGTGGGCAATACGATGAGGCGTTTTTGTTTTCTTTTTAAACATTCTAAAATAGAAAAAAAAAATTATTTTGTAATAAAACTGTCTTTCACAGTAAAACAAAGGTATAATTCAGATGAAACAAAACTACCTTATATTAAGTCTTGTATAGAAAGCATGACATATGTAGTTCCTTTCACTAAAAATATTTTTTTGAAATCCATTTAGATTTTAATTCTTCCATCACTGAGGTCTCTTCTCCCTCTACCCTGCCTCACTTTACTGATGATATAAATCATCAGAAGTTATCAAAGTTAAATTTTTTGCTTTCCTTCAGTACACTTCCTTTCCAGTTGGGGAAATTGGAGAGGGAAGTGAATTTAACTACAGTAAAATTAACTTTATCTGTTTACAAAATAACCTTTCATACTCAGTTTCTGTGGGTTTTTTTTAATGAAACATCTAAAATATTAATAAATCTTTGGATTAGCTAAAGCATATGGAATGTTTTAAAAGGCAAAAAAAAGGCAAGTTTTGCAGCTTTGCAAAATATACTGCTGTATAGTAGTTACCCGATTGAATCAATTCAGGTCTCATTCATTTTAAGAAACATTTAATTGCTTCTTTTAGCAGTATTTCTTAGCACGTACCAATCTTTCAGTCAACACCTTAAAGGTCTTGTAAAAAGATATGGTTTGATCTCAAAGGACTTCGAAAGGATTTATTCAACCTATGTGAAATAGACAAAGTCCTCTTTTTCTTGAATTTGGTATCTAATTAATCCCATTTACAAACCCCAAGGTACTCAAGTAACTAACCAACTTAATGAGTTTTGTTACCACAGAAGATATTTTATGAAATATGTATAAAAAGATTAATTTGGGCTTCTCTGACAGTTTCATCCACTACTGTTCCCTTGAATTCTGGAGAAGGCTGGGAACATGAGGAAGCCTACGACTCACGCGACATACCTGCACAAGCACCATAGTGCAAATCCCAAGCCACAATAAGGGTCAAGGCAGATGGCAATCTGACGTGAAGGGTACAGTTCACACTGTAGCTTTATAGAGCGACATAAGGCACTTGTAGCTGCATGTGACATCTGTAAGAGGAAAACAGGTGCTTTCAGGGACTTTTTTTTTTTAAAAATACGGTTTTCACATGTAATAACTCATAGAAATGTTTATTGTAGATGACATGGCAACACATAGTGGTTTTGTTTTTTATTAAGCACCTTTAAAACAGGAAAGGGATACAAGCCCAAAATTTCACAGGTACTTTTCATGCTAGTGGCAAATTACATGGAATGATGCCAAATGACGTCTGCCTTCTCTATGATAAATCGCAAAACATTCATGAACTTTATGACAAGCGCTCTCCATTTAGTCCCCTCAGTGATTCCTCACAGAGCCAGTAAAGACTGAATGCTTCCAAAAAGTGTATCAAGAGATTTTGATATCATGCAAATTTAAAAATAAGCTTCCTGAACACTAAGATGGTCCACTTACAGTTTTGTATTTCTTCTCTGACAGTGCAAACGAATGTGGAACGTGCCTATATATAAGGAAACTACAATATTCTCTCTTTTGTTACTCTACCTTTACTCCTGCTAATATACCAGTAGTAGACACACTGAAGTCCAAGTATGCCAACATATCTGGAGATGTAGGTCTGAAAATACTAGCCAGCTTCTTTTTAGGCATATCATCTATTTAAAATACATAAAAAGAGAAGAGCACCATATTATTATTTTGGAGAAAGAGCAGAGGACAAAAATGTACCTTTACAGCATTAACACCAGGTGCTTTCTGTAGTTTCTGGACAGCCATTTTGATGCAATACAAGATACATCCATTCAATTAGGCAGTTATGGTATAATAAAATAAATATTCTTCAAAGTATTTACATTTTGGCTAGTGGGCAAACATTCTGTACCTGTATCCAAAATAGTGGGCCATGTTTTAATATCTACAGCTGTTGCAGCTTCCTTGGACTTCAGCAGTTTCATTATCGCTTGTGTGGTCAGTATACATGCGGACTTACTGACCTGTAAAAGGCACAGTATTAAAAATGTTTGTAAAACTAGCGAATGAATGCTCAAGTGATTTCATATCCATCCCGATAACCAGTAAACTGGATAGGTGAAGAACAACATTGGAAACAAAGCAAAATAAATTACACAGTAGAAAGAACATTTTAAATGAGTTTCTGAAAAAGTATTTATTGACTTAGCCACAGCATACTGATTATTTTTTTTCCCTGGCTTATTTTACATTGACTGTGTCAAAGCAATTTATCAGGCTGTGTCAACCATCCTACACCCACCAAAAGCATTAGGAGAGGAGTGTCTTATACATACCTCTACAATCATTTTGACAGTGGGCAGAGTGGTAGCAAGATTCTGTGGATGAGGTGGGCGAACGGTGATAGGTATACAGCCAGCATATAAGCAGCCATAGAAAGTTGCTATCAAGTCTACTCCTGTAAAGGATATTTGTGAAATCAAAGCCATTTTTATTAGATCAAAAGGCCAAACTCTTTCATCAAAATCAAAATACACACTGATTTATTTTATTAAAATGTAAAGATTTGTCACAAAGCTCTCTTCAAACCAAACCAACAGGCTGTTCTTGGCCATGCCCAATTCTATAAGGTTAGAATATTTTGCATTTTAGAGTTAGCAAAAATTATTCGAACCCTATAAACTTTAAATTTGTAGGAATATATTTGCATGGACAGGTAGCATACAATAACAAAAATAACAAAACCAGGTATTGTAGGTTATGGAGATGATGACTCAGATTCTTTTAAAAAGCATACATTTGTTTTTCACAATTATCACTCTAAGATATGCAGTCACCCTACTTTTACGAGGTAAAACTTTTTTCCTGAGGTACACTTGTAAATACAGACTAGTAATGCAAGTCTGGGGTCCACATTTCACTTCTAGAGACAACCTTTCAGGGAAGAAAGGGTGTTCATCACTGACATCCCTCATCCAGCTTTCAATGGATACATACGCAGTTTTATTCCATTCTCTGAGTGGAATAAACCAAGAATCTTTCATGTGGTTTAAATCAAACTACTCTAGCATAACTGCCCAGACATCTGAAGTGGCTAGATAAAACGTTTGGTACATGTAGTTTGCCACATGGAGAAGCAGCTTAATAATAAAATGACAAAAAGGAAGTTTCTTCTTTGAAATACAAAGTCACTGCCATATACCCATATATTAAATAGATGTTTGAATGTTCTATCTTGTAAAGAGTTGTTTATTTTCTTGTGATGTCTGACTTTGACTTTTGCTGTCTGTATTGCCGTACCTGGAGGATAAACCAGGGCCACATGGTCACCAACATTCAGTCGTCCTTTCTCCATCAGTGCGACTGCCACTCTCTCTGCTCTCTTGTGCAACTGTATGCACGATGCAGTGCTAGCTACAGTGCCCTGCACAAAACAAAAGCACATCAGAAAACTTTGTGGAGAACAGTTTGAAACTGAATGTAAGTATACGCTGCAGATGGCAATATTTCATTGTCCTTATTTTAACAATATAGCAAACACTCTTAAGGACTCTGTCCTAGTGTTTTGGAAACTATGCTACTGGTACCATGAACTTTTAGAATGGTAGAGAATTTTACACTTATTATTTTGAACATCAGACAGTGAAGCAGCTTCTATATGTATTTGGTACCACAAAAAGAATACCTTACAAATATCTGAAATTCCACTGTTCAAGGGAGAAAACACAGCAGTAGCAGCAACACAACTGTTTTAGTAGCAAGTGAAGCACAGCATCAGCTTTACCCTACCATGCACAGCTGATGCTTTGCAATCAGCATTCTTAAAAGTGCACAGGGAACACTGCTGATGTCTTTGGTATAGATATTCTTTTAAAGGGTCAGACAGGCAACCTGAGCTGTGGTTGGTATGTGCTGTCACTTCCGCTTCAGTATATCTACTGTTCATCTTGTAGAAAGTGTATTTCCCACAACTATGCATCTGGAAAGTCTTCATATGGAAGCAGCTGTACCTTTGGATTGCTCAGGCAGTTGCAAAGTCATGGGGATTCCAAAGGGCTTAGCCCAGTTTTTGATGTGAAGACAGAAAACATACTTTTGCTACCCAGCCTAGGAAGTGATGCCTTAGCCTTCAGCTTGTGAGGTTGGGATGTATCCGTTTGTCCAAGACTACAATCTGATTCGAGAAAAACTGGTGGGACAACCACCTCAGAAGGAAACAGTCCGAGACTGAATCAAGCCTCTGGCTATACAGATAAGGATTATCACAGCAGATGTTCGCTATACAAGGATTGAGTTTCAAGTCCAAGACAAGCTGTCACATGTAATCCTCAGCCCAAGTGCACAGCTGTCTGATCCAAGGCCTAGTTTGATGCAGGATGACACCAGCACTCTGCTCAGTTTTACTAAGGAAAGTGTTGCTAAAGCCTGGGAGCTAAAGTCATGCAAAATAAGAACAGTAAATACAGTGTATTGTTGATATAGGAACAGTAGCAGCTCAAGGATTTGGGAGAAAAATATTGACATGAAAGTGTGTAAAATACAAGGGTTTCTCATGCAGACCTGTGAACACACTCATGTTTAGCACTGTAGCTTATAAGTCACAGCTTTTTAAGGCATGTGCTCACGAACAGATCATTTCTTTGTGCCGAAGTTTTGTGTTTCCTTTTTCCAGAGTCTCCTTGTGAAGGGTAAAAGTTGCCTGAACAAAGTGACCCAGAAAGGGGCTACTTCATACTAGAAAATTTCTCTCAAAAGCCTCTACTAGAGAGAAGAATAAACCAATTCCGTAGCTTTTAACAATAACCAATTGAAGCAGTTTCTTCTGCTACGGCAGAGTCTCATGAGAAAAGTCAGAACTTTGAACCATGTCCTAACCCATTTTGCCTGTCTGAATGACAGACCCCAAGGCAAACCCTTCACTTCCCAAGGACTGCTGCTGGACCTTCTGAAAACATGTTCCCTATCTCACATGTCTGTGGTACAGCGCAGCGCAAGATAGAGCCAATTTGTCACTGGGCTGTTATTGTCACTGGAAGGAAAGCTACTGAGCACACGCTCAAACAAAAATTGACCAACTTTGCCTCCTGGAAAGGAGGGGAATAAGAAAGTTCCAGAACAGCAGTAGAAGAAACTAAAATACTGGAGTTTTCCGAAATATGCACAGCAGTAGTGCTCCTCAAACCCAAGGAGGCTGACATACTGAGCAACGTGCACGTTTTTTCACACCCATTTACAAAGAAGTGTTGGATGCACAGGGTATGTGAATGCTCCAAAACGACTGCTAGTCACATGCAGAGCAGAGAGGCTATGAGCAAAAATGATGTATTTACTGCAAAACGTGACTGTTGCGTTGTCATAAGGGCTCAGACAGCCCTTGAATAAAATAAGCATACAGAGACTGTGAGCACCTCAGGCCTGTATTCCAAAACTGAAGCATTTATTTGTTCGTGTTTGAGTGACTGTAGGTGCCATCCTTTTTGGAGGCAGTCTCTAGCTGAGCATCAGTGCCTCCTGAAGGGTGTGCTGTGCTCCTGGAAATGTGACTCCAAAGCTGTCCCAAGAGTTCTCTACTTAGACTCTAGATCTTCTAATTAAAAAATCCTCCAGCTCTGACTTTTACTTACCCTTGTGCTCAGGGATGAAGACAGAATTGTGGCTTCCATTAATGTGACAAAAGTTCTGTTCCAGCAGGAAATGCAATCACTGCAAAGTTTTAAGCTAGGCAGAATGCATACTAAAATTCCAGATGTGGAATAAAAGATGTGGAATAAAATTACAGGTGTGGAAAAATTACACTGCTTGCTAACTAGCAATTTTTGTCTGCTTCAAAACAATGACATCCCAAATCATCAAAATAACCTGTTTTAGGAAAAGACTTCTAGCTGGAATTTTCTTAGAATCCAAACAATTTTCTACTGATCTCAATCACCAAATATGACCTAATGTGCATCTCACCTTGGAATTCAACAGAAGGAAGAGGGGATGATCTGGAGTTGTCTGAGCTCGCCACTGAAGAACATCTGCTAAATACAGGAACTGAAACAGAAAAAAAGGAGACACTCAGATTCACTCAAAATGTACCATGCTTAGTTTCAGCAGAATACCATAACTGGTCTTCTCTCATTTTGATTAAGCCGATTCAAATATTTAATAATACCAGTGTTACCTTTCTTGCCTGGTCATTATCCTCCAACTGGGTAACATCTCTCCCTGAGGCTTGTGCAATTCTCTTTCCAGCAACAAGGTTTCCTACTATCATTGAAGCAGGACCAACATCTGCATTTTGAAAAACAGTGCAAAATGAGAAAAAATAATGTAAGGAACATGTAATAATCTGTAATTCCGCCTATAGGTTACTATAAATGCCATATGTAACAGATCTGAACACATGAAAAGCTAAAACCAAGGACCATATTGCACAGAAGAAGAGGATAGTATGGTACACTAAAAATCAGTCCATTACGAGTATGGTACATTAAAAATCGGTCTATTGCTGATTCAGCAAATTGAGGTCTGTCTGTACTTCAGTTTTATTACATGAGTTACAGCATGCCTGAGGACTGGCCTTTGCAACATGGCGAGTACAGAAACAATTTATAACGTAGCTACAGAAGCATAAAATTGGTATGCGCTGTACGTCCTTGCATTACCTGGGATTCAAGGCAGACCATAATGCCCTCACTGAGCTCTAGGCTGCTCTTTCAACACCACTAGCTCTGCCAAGTTAAGCAGCTTAAACCCATCCAACATGCACAGCTCTGAGCTGTCACGTTGCCTCTGGATCACACTCTAAGCATATCCTCAGAGACAGACACGCAGAACTAAGGAACACGCTCTGGTTTACTCACCTGGTTGTTTCTGTCGAGGCTTGGGCAGGTTAGTAACACAAGTATGTGGACACATCAAGACGTTACAAGGGTGCAGAGCACCCTCTAAAAAGCGCTGCTTGGTTTCTGAAATATGAATTCCTCCGAGTGGAGCCTTTGGCAAAGTATTGGCTGGCACCAAGGCAAGACAGTAGACGCCCACTTGGTGAATACTATCAATTGCCTTGACAGGAAGCAAAACAAAAACAAAAAACAACAAAAAACAAACCCAACACATTCCATGTTATCAACTGGGACGTAGTTAGAGTAAGAATTTGAATTCAAGTCATTTAATAACATTAAAATTTTTACTTGCACCACAATTTGCAAATAAAGGGTCCAATTCTGCACTCACTGAACTCATAGAAGTTGTGCCATGACTTCAATGGGAGCAGGAGCAGACCCAGGACTTTGCTTGTGCACTCTATCAAGGGGATGCCACCTGCACATCAGGGATTAGGAAAGTCTCTTAAAAGTGGGCAAAAAGTGCGGAGATTTTAAAAAGCCAAAATTATACCACAGCAAATTTAGCACACATGGCACAATCACAAAAGCGCAGTAGAACATAAAACCACAAAAATAGGGAGGGAAATATCTTGCTGCTAAAACTTAAGTGTCTATTTTAGCTATGACACTTCCAAAAAGATAAATAAAAATATTTCCTCCCATGAAATACAGCCTTTCTATTACCAGGTATTCCCTCCAAAAAGATTACAAACTGAAATTAGACAGAAACCATTATTATATAACTGTCTTACTCTTAAGAGGCATCTTCCCTTAAGTCGTTCTCTCTAAGTCTTCCCTGCAGTTGTCCCTTCACCAGAGTCTTCTTCCATAATTGCGCTCTCACTTTTTACTTCCTCAGAACTGATCAATTAATTCTGAAATCCTCAAATGCAAATCTACCAGAATCCCCCTCCCTCCTGACCACCCCCAGAAACACAATAGAGTAATCAAGGGAAAGTTTGTAATGCTTACTGTCAGAGATCTAGAATAAGGATGTTAGTGACATAAAAAGATTTCAGGGTCTGTTTTGATACTTGGCACTAAGTATACCCTTAAACATTTTCAGACTTAACTTCTCAGCCAGATATATAGAGAATTAAAACCAAACAAAAACAATCACCCTTAGGACTTTAAGAATCCTAGTAGTATGAAGTTAAAAAACATTCTGAAATAAAGTCTTACTTTTTACAAAATTCTGTTAACTGTTAAACCGTGAAATACATTCAGAAGTCAGCTTATTACAACTGTCTGTAGTTACACTGCTAGGTTTTTCTTATGGAAAAAAAGATGCTCTAAAATTCTCATTTCATACATCAGCCTTATTCCCCTGGAAAGAGAGAAAGGACAGACTGACTACCTGTAGAACCCTGCTCATCCACTGAAAACTATCCTCCTCTGATGCATCAGGGCGCTGCTCTGCCACAAGCACTATTCGATCATCATGCAAAACGGTCACAGAAAACACTGCTATCCTAAAACGCAAAGGACAGAAGAATGATAGGATGCAACATACGATGAACACAGCACAGTTTATTATAACGTGGAAATGACTGCAACTTTTAATGGTACTGTTTCAACACATACAAGCATTAATCATGCCAGATCATTGCAAAGTCACAGACAAATTTAGAACAAATGTAGGTTCATTATTGTAATTTATTTCTGTTGGTGGTCAGGTGAATTTGCAGTCAGCAACTGTAGCACGCGTTTAACACAGGCAGGTTCCATATGTGCAAGGGCTGGGCAAACCTTGCCTATGTGGGTCCATCATGCATGCTAAACTTGTTGCAACTACATACGATGTCCCTCCTGAAAGACAGCTATGCCAAATTACTGACCAGCCTGTCTATCAATGCTAGCACTGAAAAATACTCCCCTTTGTGAATTACATTAGTTTTAGGCTTGCATCTTCTAGGATAAAATATTAATAATATCGCAACCAGGTATGTGCATTATTTTTATGATATGTGAATTGCACAAGTGATGCAAAAATGAGGTAAGCTTCACTTTCATCGAACCACAGAACAGTTTGGGCTGGAAGGGACCTTT